ATCAGATAAACCTTTCATATGTGCGGGTCTTACTGAGAGCCTCTATGCATGCAAGTGATACCCACTGGGCTCGTTGGTAGTGTGCCGTCCGGTTAGGACAGCAGGTCCAGTAAGTCCGGAAGCACTACTGGTGTTTCAACTAGCATTTCCAACAGAAGTGGAAACTAGGCCTTGGTTGGCCAACTGGGTGCGACCAATGACAATATGCAGGTGTGCACCTCTCAAAGTTTTCTCTGGTGCCAGGTGAACTAGCGGGAAGGGAGGAAAGGCATACACATCTATGTGGGTCTACAGGGTCAGCAAAGCAACCCTGGCCAAGGCTCCTGGAGTTGACAGGAGTGTTATTTATGTCGGGAGCTTGGCGTTCCGGGGTGCGGCAAACAAGTCTATCTTTGGACCGTTCCACAGCCAAAACAGCCTGGAGGCTACCCACTGGGGTATCAGCCACTCCGTATTCGCTGCCATATGGCCTCGGTCATGTGGTTTGTGACGTAAGGGAAAAGAATCTTGGGGTCATGGGGCTTCCCCTTACCTATATTCTATTTCTCCGTCATTGGCAGAATCACTGATTAATGCCTACAGTTCAAAATAGTCATTTTGACTGACCGTGTCTATGGTGCGTAATTGAACGTAGTGAATTGGTGTTGCAACAAAGTGCATTGCACCAGGCGGCTGTGCAGTACAGCTTGGGGACGTCATTATCCCAATGATGTTCTCGGGAGACACAGAGGGAATGCTGGCATGGAGGAGTACCTCAGAAAAACTGTTGACTGAAGCACACTGTTTTGCTACGATGCACACTCGGTGCGTAGAAAACAGAGTGAACATAAGGCAAGATGGCGATGACCTCTTGACCTTGGTCATGTGTTATGTGACTGGAAGAAAATCTGAGGTCATGGGGCTTCCCTTGACCTAGATTTCTCTCTCCGTCATTGGCTGACTTGCAGATTAATACCTACAGTTCAAAATAGTAATTTTGACCGATTATGGTGGGTAATTGAACGTAGTGAACTTATTATTAGTAGTAGTACTACTTATATACACTACAGTATATGACAATTGAGTATGTGTATGTCCATCTAAATGGTTCAATCTTACAAAGACTGTAAAAAACTAGATATACTCAAATTAGACTGATCCAGATTTATATTTACAAAAGACGGTTATAACATGCAAACAAAATTCAGAAGTCAGTAAATGACAGACATTATGAAGAATACCAATACATATAATATGACATGATTGTGACACAAATTTATGATTTATTGAGTTTGAATTGGAAATTATTAATGTGGACGGATATTTGAATCGTATGAAGGATTGGCAGGTGTACTTTAATACTTTATGTAATGAGCGACATACTGGTCACACATAACAATGTTTTAAAATATAATAATTCAAATCAAACACATAATTTCAAAGCTTCCCTTTAAAGTAAAATTTTTATGCAGCAATTTTTACTTTCATTATTGAACGTAAAAATATGATATGATAAAGATATTGACAGTCTTAAATAAAGAAACTGCTTTAACAACATTTGCCTGCACGGTGTTGCTCTGTTCCAACATTCCTCTCTCCCGAGTGGAGTGTCGAAACATTCACCTTGAAAATTGAACATGCTGCTGTACATATTAGTGGTTTTCAGACATGACCCTTATATCAATATTAGTATACCTATTTAGAAAATGTGAGCAGATAAACGACTCACATAAATGACCAGGGATCACTAAAAAAACTGTTCAGAATCAAGGGTGGAAAAAATAAAAAATAATGTCCATAATGATACACTCCAGTGATTATATAGCAGTAGTTCTAAAAACCATAGTATCTGTGAATGCTTATATGCAATTATATTGACATAGCTAACATGTATGAACACATAAATAATCTGTGACATACATTGAGGATAAGACAATTCAATATTGCATGCAATCTCATACGGCCATGACAAGTATTCCTTATACAAGTATGACTGGTGGTAACTCTGCAATTTGTACATTGTAGACGTTGAATTCAAACTCTACTCGTCTTCTTTCATGCAAACTTTATCATGGTTTTCTTCTGCTAGTATTTCATTTACAAGATAACAAGTTTCTAGATGGTCGCTTCCAATCACATGCTCAAATTGTGGCCTATGAAAGGTATAAAATATTATTATTTTAAATATATCAACGACTAGATTTCATATTTTGAGCATGTCAAAACTAAAATACAATTAATCATCTTGTTATCATTGTACAATAACAGCTGACATAACTTGATGTGTGTCTCACATCTGTACATTTGCCATTTTTACACAATTTTGAACATGTCAGATAAATGAAATGAAACTCTTAATCCAAGATGATTGTTTTCATCATTAAGTTAAAAATAAACAGACAGAGAGACAGAAACAAATAATGATGTAATAT